CCTGGGGCACTGAGAGCCTCTTCCAGCATTCAAACCCTCGCACCTCTGGTGGTTTGAGGTCTGTAACTGTGCTGGAGGTGGATATGGCTGCTGCTGCAGTGGTTTGGCCCAACCCAGCCATCAGTCTGTGCTCGCTGTGCCCTRATTTCTAGCAGGTCCCTGTGCATTGTGCCCTTCCTCACCCCAGCCACCAGTCCCGTGTGAGGCTGTCCAGAGTTAAATTTAGGAGCTAGCAGGAAAAAAAAGGTTGGACTCAAGGGCAGAGAGAGGGAAGAATGAGTTTTAGAMGAGCGATAGCTCCGTGCAGGGACACAGGAGGTTGAGATGGACAATTGTTGGTGTCTCATTAATGGTTCACAGAGCACCCTCGGCCAGGGCTGGCACTGTGCAAGCAGGCAAATCACACCAAAACCGCTGCCTCTTCACTTGAGGAACTTGTGCTCTAAGCAAACAGTGAAACCAGAGTGCAAGTGTCATTTTAAGCCTTTTTTCTTTAAAGAATCTCTGCAGTGCTGCAGGGGTCCTGAGCTGTTGGTAAGTCTTGAGAAAAATGTGTCCAGATTCACTTTGTCAGAGATTGTCAGCCTGAGTGCCTTGCTTGGCCACAAATGCACACTGATTTGCCTCCTTTTGCCTCAGAAACATCCTGGGAATTCCGAGGAGCTCTGTGTTAATACCTGCCCTTGAGCAGCWCTGCAGTTGGAGACGCTCACAGCTCAAGTGACTCAACAGTGCAGTCCTGTCTGAGGATGACATTTCCTCCAGGCATCCCAAAAAGCCTGGTTTTGGCAGGTCTGGTTGTGACACTGCAGCAGATAAAGGTGTGACCGTGTACAAAGTGCTGGGGCCAGGGGAGCTCTGGGGGCAGTGCTGGGGCGTGGGGCTGCTTTGGGCTCTGCCCGACCCAGAGCAAGGCTTGTGCTCCTCAGTTACGCGCTGCAGCCAGGCTGCCTTGGCAAATCTGCCCTGTCCATTCTGGGCTGTATTTCCCCACTGGTTTTTAGCCTGTCCTACTGYTCAGTGTGAGTCTGTGTCCTGCTRTTCTCTTCAGATGGTATCCAAATTACTCTGAATATTCTCCCTGCAGTCAGAAATTTCCTGAGTCATACCTAAATGTTAATAAAAGCCTAATGGTTTATGTTAAGGAAGGCAAGAGATAAAACTAGAGCCCTTTTATCACAGCCTTTAATGGCCTGAAAATGTCAGTTGTGTGGGAGCAGCTGCCAAATTTTGAGCCTATGAAGATGATGGCTAAGTCCCACAAATCAACAAGTTTGGAGCGGATTATCGGATGCTGGCTGTGTCATTTTCCCAGGACTCTGGGYGTGCTGGAAGCCAACACTTTAATCCTCTGTGATAGAAGTCTGAAAGGGGCTGGGCTCCCCTCTCACTCTGGGGCTGTGGAGCTGCTGCAGTGCATGGCCTTGTGCAGAGCAGGGGCTCGGGGCTTTCCTCTGCACCRCAGCTTCTGAGTCACAAATTAGCTCCAGCTTTGCTTGAGAACTATTTTTAAGGTCACAAACACAGGATGCAGAAATCAGCACATTTCATGGTTTTCCTGAGAGCTGCCTCACCACTCCTCTTCCTCCTTCTGTTTCCAGCAGACTTCCTTCCTGAAGGGACATCCTGCATGCCCAGGGCTGGGGAGCTGTAATGGAAATTCGGGGAAATCGCATTTTATGCTCCTTGTAGGCCTGGGATAAAGAGCTGAACTCACACTGTGGAGACAGCTGAGCTGTTGATGTGGCTGCAGATCTGTTATCTCTGTTGTACTTTGTTTCTGCAGTCGCACTCAGGGGTTGATCTGACTGACCATCCTCTTGAGTGTGKCCCCTTGATTTGGATTCATTTGCATCCCTTGGGAAGTTGTGCAGCAGTAGCACATGTCCCGGTGTGCAGGGRCACAGCAGCACTGCTTGGCTGGTGCTGGCTGCAGCTGTCCCCAGCCTGTGCCCAGGGAGGTTTGGCATCAGTGACACAGTGGCACAGTCAAACCTTTTGGGTGCAGAAGGTTTCRGATCTGGAATCAGCCCATATTTCTGTGAGTTACTGAATACCCAGAGCRTGTCAAAGACAAATAGAGGCAATACAGCAAATGCCCATGGCGTGTTTTAAAATGCAGATTATAGAAAGAGATTGATTTTGGAAGAAAAGTTAATGTTTGTGTTTTTCCCACTTCAGGATAGGGCAGCTTGATTTAAGATGGAGTGAGATTTAACCCATTGCAGTGGCCTGTTGCAGTCATCCCCAGCTGTGACTGCCTGGTGCCTGCAGAAGGATGTGCCTGGCTGTATCCTGTTTACTGTAATGTGGTGGAGTTAACTGTCCCCTGGCTGCTGTGGGGTGCAGGCAGCAGCAGTGTCATCCCTTCTTTGGGCCCGGGAGAGGGAAACACCAGATGGCTCCTGCCCATCCGTCTGTTGGAAGAGCTGATGTCATTTGAAGAAAGGTGTTTCAGAGGAAGGATGTGTGCAGCCAAAATAAAGCTTGGCCTGTGTTAGAATAGTTACATCCTGTTTACTGTGGAAAACACTTCAGGCTGATAGGAGCTCTGAAATGCGTGATTTAGAAGCGGGCAGGCWCTGCAGATAAGGCACTTCCCGTGATTGTGGCCACCTGGAGAAGAAAGGGCCGTGTCTTGCACAATGGCAGGCAGTGATGCTGCTCTCAGCTCCCGAGGAGCTGCTGTGGACAAGAGGTGCTGAGCATCCCTTGGGGTCCCAGATGGCCGGAGATGCCTCTGTGCCTCAGTTTCCCTGCTGGAAGGAGCCTTGTATGCTTCAGGTGGTGAAAATTCATAAAGAATAACAAAGAGGAGCTGGAGATAATCATCCCTAAGACAAGTAAATAAACCCAAAAAAATTTCTAAATCTTTGTGAAGGGAAAGATTCATTAAATCAAAAACATGAATGGCTTGCCATGTCCTCTGTATGAYAGGAAAAGTTGTGTGGCCCATTTACAGGGCAAACATACACACTTTAGAATTCGGGCTTTGATTTTCCTTTTTACTCGCCTGAGATGTGGTAAAACTGCGAAATGCATACAGCATTGCATCCACAAACTTGATGCTTTTGYCCTGGTCCCCTGTGAGCAGAACTGCATCTTTGAATTGCTATCCCRTTTGGCACTCATCTGAACAGAGGAGTTTTTCACATCAGTCTGGGTTGCTGTGTCCAGCAGCGGTGGCCACACGGGCCGGTGTCTGCAGGGGTCACAATGCCAGGTTCAGGGGTTTTTCTGGAGAAGCCCCAGCCTGTCTTGAGTGGCACCGTGGCTGTGCTGCTCCAGCAGCAGATTCAGGAGCCCTGGCTGTGTCTGCAGCAGCAGCTCCCTGTGATCCTGGAAATGTGCTGCTGTGCACTGTGACTGCTCTGTGGGGTACCCAAAGCTGTTTGTGACACACCAAGGGCTGGCTGATCCCACAGCTCTGCTTTGCTGCTCCACAGCTCTGCTTTGCTGATCCCACAGCTCTGCTTTGCTGCTCCCACAGCTCCTGGTCGGGTTTGCTGATCCCACAGCTCCTGCTCGGGTTTGCTGCTGTCCTCTCTGGCACAGAGAAGGAGCAGTGCCATGGCCTCCAGTCCCCAGCCATGGCTGTGCCAGGGAGGTCACCAAGCCCCTGTGTGGGTCTGTCCAGGGCTGCTGGACAGGCTGATGGTCACCTTCTGCCTGATGGAAACCACATTCCCGTTCCCTGACAGATACAGTCTCAAATCCCTGTGTTTATTCTGCTTAAATTCAGACATTGTCAGCTTCTGTGGCAGGTCTATGTTATGATGTTATGTTCTATGTTATGATGTTAATGTTCTGTGTTATGATTGGATTCAGGAAGGCATAAATGGGCTTTGTSCTTGGGGTGTAGGCTGCAGCCCTCCAGGTATCTCTTGCTGGGGATTTTTACTGGTGATTCCCACAGCTGGGGCTTGGATTGGGTGACCTGTGGTTCCTGCTGCTGGAATGCCAGCCCTGCCAGGGAAGGTGACAGCGTGACAACGTGGCCATGGCCTTCCCCAGGCCAAACCTGGGGTGACCCTGTTGATGATGTGGCAGTGGCCCTTGAAATGTGCCCATCATTTGAGTGGCTCCAGCTTCACCCAGTGCAGCTCAGAAAAGCYGCTGGAGTGACAGCAGGTGAATTGGTGGTGGTGACACTGTTGGGATGTTCTGGCATTGCTGAATCCATCCAAGTCATCTGAGCAGGGCACGAGGCATAAATATCATATGAGGCCTCACCACTTGCAAATGCACTAATTAATTTAGCACAGGACAGTCAAGTCTGTTCTCTTGCTTTGGGTCAAACAAGTCCAATGCCTGCTCACAAGCACAGGTAAACGA